AAAAGTGAACCGACATTTATGAGTCCGACGCAAAATGCCAAAACGAAACTAATAGTCCTTCGGGATTCAAATCCCTTTGGATTAAAAATGTTTGTTTGTTTTCTCGTTACTGAAACAAAGTTCTTTTAAACGCAAATGAAATTTAAATGGTTTAATTTTTTGCATTTAAACAGAATAAATGATGGCCCATAAGAGCACTTTAAAAAAACTGCTAAAATTAGCTGAAAAGTACTTTAAAGGCGAACTCATTAATCGATCATATGACTAAAAAGGAGATGAATATGAAACTCGAATACATTAAACAGCAATTTGAGCTCTGATTTTACTTTTACATTCAGCCAACTATTACGAGCCGGGCTCAATATATATCTAAAAGTGCAGATCAAGTTCCCGTGCAAGGAAGGATGTTGTGTTTCCGTCAAAAGGATGGGCCATCATTTCAAAATAAGCTGATGCATGATTTAACGTAAATAGCTTACCACGTGCGCTTAATTACTCTTAGAGCAGTTCTATGCTTTATTACCATTAAACCAACATCCAGTGATTTTCTAGGCAACGCTTTTAATTTCATTGTAATGAACTCGTCTAATTTCATTAAATCTGTTACACTTAGCATTACTCTTTAAAACGCTTACCATAGAATTTTATCATTGTTTCAGGATATACGAGTAATCACACGTGAACATAGTTTACGTGAATTTAGACATCTATACGGATTCAGTTAATATTGTTACATGCTGAGAATCTCATAAAAATCAAATTCAACTTCCATTAAAACAATATTAGATTAAAATTTAAATGTAAACTCTGGGAAAAGATTAAATCTGTTTAAGGGATAATACGTGTGCCACCTTTTTTTTTCTGGATTCATACATTGTAAAGCATTGTTTTATTACTGAGTTCAGTATAATTGATTGTTTGTTTCTAGGTAGGATTTTCATTTTCCTATTAACTCAGTCAATATTTATTAATAGAAAATATTTGCGAATTGAGGTGCATAATTATTTTAATGTGTGAGGTAGACATGCTGTCAAATTATGCATCTAGAGCTCTAAACTCAGTCAGGTTACCTCGAGTTTCAATAGTAAGTGAAAATTATTCTATGCTAAATGGCAGTTTTATTAGTGCATTTGGTAAAAGCAACTCCGTTGTATGGATTAGGAATACGTGATCTCTGTTCCCAATTGGAACATAAGTCTTTAAATATATAATTTGCTTTAGTATTTGGTTTGGGTTAACAGTCTACCATAAGGAAATTCACAAAGATTTCTTGCGTAAAAATGCAAAACCAAAAATATAAAGTTTCAAAATAATATTAAGGAATTGCACTTCATTGCAACTTCAAGAATCGCTAACTATTTTCTAAAAAACGAACGTCATATATTCTTGTCTTAAGAGTATCTAATTTCAAGTGATAGAAATAAGCTAGAAGGTTCATTGGTTCGTTTAATATGAGAAATCACATGAAAGCTATTTGCCTAACGGCATGGATTCCTTTATGGAGAACTCTCTATGGCCGTGTTATGCTATCTCTCTGTCTTTCCTGTACACAATGATGATAATGTTTCCAGTGTATGCTCCTAACAAATGTTCTTCGCTGGGCGTCACGGCAAATTTTTTATTTGAAAGGTAACAGAACCATGTGGCAATGAAAACAGAAGTAAGGATTTGGTTGGAAAGGGAACAGAAACAAAGACGGGTAGCTTAGCTTTATTTTTGCCTCAAAAATTCGAGATAACATTCCTTGTTCCATTATTTCCTTTTCCAATACTTTAATAATTATTATTTTCATAGCTATAAGTAGTTACTTTCATCCTAGAGGTATTTCACTCCTTACGAAATGTAATTCAGTCAGCCAGTATGGAGTACTTTCCACTATTTCTAAACGTTCCTGAAACTTTTAAAAAGGATTTAAATAGGAGTTTTATGAATTATATCACACAGCAACTTCCTAAAGGTCTCAAGAAGCATTAAGATTATGCAGGTATGTTGTCCAGGAAAGATAAAAAGATTACATAACTCCTGCCGTTTGTTGTGCATTTTGGTTGGATCTTAAGGAAAAGACTATTAAAAAGGATATGGTATAAACAGTATTCCACCCAACGCATATTTGCATTTCTAAAGTTTGTATTTTGGTTGTATCTTAGAGAACATAGTACTTAAAAGGGTATAATAAAAAGAGCATTCAAACCGAAGCGTATTTGCATTTTCTAATTCACCTCAAGGAGTGTCTGAAAATAATATTAAGTATAAAAATATAACTGAAATACCAGTATAACTGTTTAACTTTTTTTACTTTTACACTGCTAAGGAGGACTACTGACCGGGAACAAGCCCTTGCAGTATGATGTCCGCCCTGCAGACATTTATTAAGTCTAAATTAAAAAAAAAAAAAAAAAAAGTACACAGTCACATCTAGATAGGGAATACAAAGGACTACCTTGAATACATATGACATTCCTGATAGTATAGGTTACAAAAAAAATAATAAATAAAAAAAATACTTAGAAGTACAAAGCTGCATTGATACAAAACTGTTAAGGTAAAACAAAAACAGTAAAATTTAAGACTAACATTGGAATTTCAAGCCTGCAGTTATACATCACACTGACTTACTATTATACACTTACTATAATTCCGCACATTACAACATATTATGCAATATATTACTATAATACTGAAAAACACACTAACATAGTAAAACTGATACTACAAATAAAACACACTATATACACTGTTCGTATCAGAAAAGTACACACTGACATAGTAAAGCTGATACTACAAATAAAACACAACATATACACTGCTTGTATCAGAAAAGTAGACAATTCTGTACATGATGCTGTACTGTAACGCTAAAACTAAAGAACACTAGACAATAACCACTGACAATATAACTGTTTAACTATTGAAAACGCAATTTAACATACCAATTAAGACTTTTTAAAAACTACTTAATTCACATATACTGCATTTTCCATCACAACCGGTCGCGGTTTAACATACATCTTTATAAAGCCTCGTTTTAGCTTTCTAACCAATAATTTAAAGTTCAGTTGCTTTCCTAGAAAGCCTCGTTTCATTTCCCTCCCAGAATGTAAATTTCCAACGCGAGCGATATTCAAATTAGGTAAAATGAGGGAACTATTTAAAGGAAGGTTTAGGAGGGTGAAATTAGAGCATTTTCTGCCTGCTTGAAGGCTACGTTTGATTCTCTCGACTAGAATTCTGTGGCCTAGAGTTATTCTTGTCATTAAGCTCGTTTACGTCGACTTCGGTCAGAGCCACCTTGCGCGCTAGTTATAGTGTTAAGCCTTTAGGCTGTACTCCATTCATTTAGTTTATTCATTATACTTAATTTAAGGCCAAAGTGTTGGCTTCTGTAAGCAGGAGTTCGCACAGGCTGTTATATTTTATCTGGATTAATAAAAGGATCCTTTGATCTCTTTTCCTCACTCTCTCAGTGGTATTTATAAGGCACAGTGACAATCACTAGCTGTATTGTTAACAGTTCTGGTCTAATTGTGTGCTGTTGTTAATGCTCACTTTTCTGACCTATAGTCAGCTCAAGCACACAAAATTCCTCGTGGCAAGGAGCGCAAGATACGCCTGTCGTTGGCTACATACTTTTGAGCACCTTACATGTGACAGTGCGATTTAGCTTAATTCCGCCCCCAATTTTGATGGAGAGAGTCCCGTGGTGGATGGGTCCGAGGGTCTCCCACCTCTCTTCTCCTACCAACAACCTCTCGACAGGGCGTTCTGCTCGCCGTATATTTAGAGTGCCTGCATGCATGGTCACTATACATTTACAAACATCCATGCCTTCTACGGGATTCGAACCCGAGCCCATCGTCACGTTAGTTAGCGACGCTTTATAACCTGAAAAACAGGTGGAGTTAACTAGTTAATGAATTAATCTTGGTAAACCAGACAAGTGCAGTCTTGCTAAAGGAAGACACGTGTTTATGAAAGAGATTTTAAAGGAAATGTAACGTGATTTTGCTATGGAATATAATATACCTGGAAAATCCATTCAAACACAGTGCTCAGCGATAGGAATTGCGTATAGCACCTCAACTCGTTAACAACAGTCTAAAAGGTAAATATGTTTAAGTTTTATAAATCTAAAATTTTGAAAAAATTGAAGAATGTAGAACTTGATTTAATACATTGACAAGAGTATCTAGTCTAGAATGAAACAAGAAATATACTCTTATTTCGACAACTCATCTAAATTTGTTACGAAACATATTACATTTCTAAACATTTTATTGAACTATTTCTTTAAGAATTAGTTTTGCTTGCAAAGTCGTATTTCTTCCGAAAATAATAATTCAAGCTTACTATCATTACCCAGTTTTGGCTTAGAAATTTAAAATACATAATTCATATCAAAAGAACCGTAATTTCCACTAAATAGCAAATACTAAAATTAAAAATTGTGCAAAAACAACCTTGTATGGGTGTGATTTTGAATAGTGTTCTAACGATTTCCAAGGCAACCAATCTGTCTTCTTAACGAAAGGGAAGCCCTATTCGATTATTGGTTTCTATCTAAACTAGCTCTTGTCTCTTTCATTTTTTTCTCTCCTGAAGACATACCTGTCCCATTTATACTACTGGCCGATCGCCTTCGAAACCGCTATAGTTTTGTTCAAAATTCCCGCCAATCTAAAGTTGCCATTCTGCTTAATGTTAAATTTTACATTTTCGTGTATCCACTTCACTATCAATGTAGGGATTTTTATGCTTTTCATACAGGGTTTTATTTATAATACATAAAAAATTAAAATTTCAGTAATCAGTGATTGCGTTCGAATCAACAGACGTTTTTCCTGAGTAAGATGCTGCAAAATGTGAGGCGTTTTAAATATTAGCGTTGAACTTGCACAACAGTTCCCTAGACATCGACTAAAATTCCTTTCTAAGAAATTCGCGAGTGGGCATTAATCTTGAATTTAAAAGTAAGAGAAACAGAATCTTCTAAAGTAACTTACCTCTCCAAAGTTTGCGTGCAACTTCAGCTGGGAATATCAAATGCAACAAATCTACGTTTTTTTGTCTTTCTTCTTCTACCGCTTGACTTGCTTCTTGTATAGAATTCTTCAGCTTATCCATTCTTTTCTTTAATCCGTCTTGGGCTTTTGTTTGTTCCTCTACCAACATGATGTCTCTTGTAGCATCATGTACAGGTATATCAGACATGTAAAGTCCTTTTCCCACTAGTCCCGATAATCCTTTGACGACAGGAGAACCCAGAAAAAGTAAAGATTGTGATTCCGGGCATAATACCATCTGGCCTTTAATGTTCATGCCCTAACATAAGAAAGTAAGATTTTTAATTTCAACATACTGAAAGCATTAAAAAACATTTACATTAAATTTCTTTAAAAAGATTGAATGCTTGTATCTCATAATTTCAATTTGATAACAAGCGTTTGAATAATGAATTATTTTACTGCTATATGATTATTACTTTTATTACCAGGGCCGTTAGTTCACAGGCCGTTCCACTTACTCTGATTATAAGACAAATATCTTGCAAGAAAATGTGCGATAATTACATATCGTAAAACAAATATGAATTTTCAAACACCATTTCAGAATTTTTTCCATTTCATCTCATTTCTCTTTTTAGAAACATGTGATTATTATTTAAATAGCCTTATAAAATGACGTTTCGGTGACTAATTACGCATTTCTAAGATAAAAGCGCTAAATACATCAGTCAAAAAGAAGACATTTGATTAGTAATAAAATATTACAAAGCCCAGACGTTTGCTTACGCAAGGATAAATTTACCGAGTACTTTATGAGTTATTTTTAAGTAAAATACTCTCACGTTTATCTTATAGACATATATACAAATGTCCTGTACACTTATATATGTTTCGTGTGTATATATTATATATACACACGAAACAGCTACACAACTATCACTTTATATTGTTGTTAACCGAACCCTAGCACGAACTGGAGTTTTGCGATTCCCCCTCTGTCCCTCATGGTGCCAGGAGACTGAAATAATTTTTTAATTTCACAAACTTTATATTAAACGAATAAAAAGATGCAAATTGAATTTCTCTTTCATGCTTTACTTGCTTACGTTCATTTTTGTAGGCTTTCTCAAATCAAATTTATAATAATACTTAAAATCACACTTAAAGCTCCTATATTTTAAACAAGAAATTTTATTTTAGCATAAGCATTGTAAGATAATCATTTTGCTTGCAATTTTTAATAAACCTTCCACCAGATTTTGAGTAAATGATGTTTATTTATGTAAATGCTAGAAAATGACCTTTCTTTTACAAGCAGCTAAACATTCAGACAAAATATATTTCTTTTCTACTCACACATTGTACGATAAACGGCATGTGCACCTACTTAAGAATGATACTTGTTTCTCATCACTTCAGGTCATCTATCTCTTTACGTAACGACCATCACAAAAAATTGCTTTGGGGAAGATTCTAATGAGCAAAGAAACTAAAAGTACTTCCGTTTCAAATCTATGTTTTATTTTCATTATTAAGGCGATTACTACATTCAGTTGATTTAAATTTCGATTTGAAAAAGATGTATTGTTTCTAGCATTTTCTAAAATTATTTCGCACTAATATGGACACAGACTGGGAATTTAATTAGTTTTTAAAGCGTCTTATCATTCACTTATTAAATATTTATTTTTACAACTCAACCGAGTAAATTTGTTTAATCCATAGTTCTGATATTTTACGATCTTCAAGTACAGGTAGCAGAATAAAACGGCAAACAGTTCGAAATGTATTCAAATTGAAAAAAAAAATATATTCTGCAACTTTCGGTATTCCCTTGACAGCTAGTGTTTACGGAATTTTGAACTTCCTATTTTCAGAAGAGCAAACATAAACATAATAGCACAGGAATAAAAATAAATGACAGGTTACGCAGGTGATTTTGAAATACTGATTGATAAACATAAAAGAAAGGATCCAAAGTACTTTTTTATTTAGAAATAAAAGAAAATGTTTTCAAATGTAAACTCATTCTCCAGTTTCTGCATATAATATTGTGAAATCAATTCTCTTCGATACGAAGAAAATAAGAAGTGTTTTCATTGTAATGTGCTTCGATTAACTGGCTTTATGAAAGATAATGAGATGTAGAACCTCCAGGGACTGGAAAACTGTCCCTCATAATGAATGCAGAATAACAGCGCATCGTAATGCTTTTATCCTCAGGGGAAGTCTAAACGTAAATGCAAACGATAATTACATATGAGGTGCTGAGCTTAAAGCATAGTAAAAATGATATGATTTTTTGTGACAGTTGTTTTGAAAAATAATCTTCTAAGCAATGCAAAACGAATATCAAAACTTAAACTCAGATATAATCAATTTAAAAGGTACGTTAAAAGAAACGGTAGTATGTGCATTCATTGGATTCCATGCTTCGTTTTTCCTTCAGAAATAAATACTTCGTATTTTTTCTTCATTAAGAATAATACAGTGCAATGAAAAATTATATTTCATTTGAAGAATACATTAATAACACCGATATATACGTACAGTTTATTAGCAACTATTTATTTGATAACTCAGCAAAATGTTTCTTACGAATAAAGAAAAGCTTTCGTATGTGTATGATATATGGTGATAAACTGCTTACTCATTCAATTAATATTACAAAAGTTTATTCAAATTTTATTCTTTTCGCTCCATGCTAAGTTTTAAATTTAGTTTTTAAATTTTTACTCTTGATAATGAAATTCTCTTTAATTTATAAATTCTACGATAGTTTGGTTTGGTCTGGTTTATTGAGACTATGGCAAAGCACACGAGGGCTATCTGCCTATAGGGAGGATGCCTTCTTGGAGGACTTTCTAAGGGAAACTGGATCTTATACACGTTACACATGGGGAAACCACGAAAACGCCCATGCAGCCATGCCCGTTCGCGGGATTCGAACTTCGGACCGAACTACCAGTATTCAGCGATTTTACCGCTCGGCCGCTGGTGGGCAAATTCTACGATAGATGAATTATATGTGTTTTTATATTAAAAATGTTGAACGCTGTTGTAATTGGATAAAAAAATTATTGAAATACCGCTGATAAATCCTAGTTGTAAAGATAAAACACAAATGCTAAATATATTAAAACACATAATTTTTTTCTTGTGTTTTTAGAGTATTTCTGTTAGTAGAATTTTATATTTATGTATATTAATTAATCGTTACTCGTGTAAAGTTAATTACTCGCGTCGGGAAACATGTACTTTAATTTTAAGCTTTCTCTAGTGCATGCAAATAAAAATCTGTAAAAGGGATTCTATAGTACACTGGTGTTAAAAACTAAAATAAAATTTTCACAAACTAAGCTGAACTATTACAACAAGAAAACCAATATGAAGAAATTGTGTATAAACATTTATAAGGGATATTATCTCATTTAATTAGCAGCTACATAATGCTGAAATATTGCTGCTAATGCCAAACGAAACGTTAGCTTTTAATAACGGTGCTTTGTCTTCATCATTGATGACAGTTTTAATAAAACCTTTTATCTTCTTCCTTTTGCGAAAATACGCATTTCATTAAGACTTTCCAAACTATTAATTAAAATGTTTATTATACTTGCAGAACCAAATTCTAGTATTCTATTATTAGTTTTGCAGAGCCAAATACTGTACTTCTATAAAGTTATATCTGAATTTCTGGAGTCTCTAAGGAAGCAGCGGGTGCGATGCAACTCATCGAGGTATACCATTTCAAACATAACTCAGTATGATTAAATTTAGATGATCCTAATGGACATTCTATTTGAACTATATAGTCAGTTTGAAGACATTATAGAAGTTACATGAAGACGAGCATTGTCAAACATGAATAAAACCTCTACAACTACAAATTCCCTCAGCATCTCTAAAAATCCTTATTTGGCGAGACAGAGTTTCATTGGCATTCCTATACAGGTTACATAGAACCATTGTCAAAGATAGGAAGTTTCTCGTGATTTCTTTCCAAGTAAGCAACATGGAAGACGTATATAATTACGCAACAGAAGACTATGTGTTGTACAGTTTTCTGAGATAAAATAATCTCCAAATTTATTATTTATGTTGAACCTGCACTCATACATAAACGCTCACGCGCATTCCCCTTGGCTGCATTAACGAGGAAAATTTTATCTTTAATGCTAAACTATACGCAAAATGCAGCTTCTCCTTTTAATAACATACTTTTTAATTATATTTTTTAATGTACATCGTCTTCTCAGACGTGTTATTAATCATACTTATGGTAATTATATTTTTGTATAAATAAGGAAGGTAGATTTTGTTGTGAATAGCCTACGGTTTGATTTTATTGTTGTGTATAGCGTATATCATGTATATGATTGAATTTGCATGGAAACCAAAGACTTTAGCAAGATAGTGGCCTATTGCCCAGTCTTGGTGAAACAATTATAATTCAGACGAAGGTTTAAAATAAACATTTTTTTATAACTTAACACAAATGCTCAGCTTGTGCTTTATAGAGTCACCTCTTATTGTAAAATGCAGACTAATATAGAGTATTAAAAACACAATTTTATTATGTAACATTTAGAGTTACAAGTCCTAATAAGCTTTGGCTCAGGCTTCTACGTACGCAAGCAATACGGCTAACAAAAAGCTAAAGTCTATTTAGTTAATTCTGACAGGTTTTCGGCGTACCCGCCAAATCTCATTCATTACTTCAAGAAATCTGTTCTTCCATACACGCTAATTTGCATCCTAGTGGGAGCCTACGAAAGTAGAAGCGAGAGTAAAGATAAAAATTATAAGATAATTGGTTAATAAAGTTAATAAATATGCAACCTTACAAATTCTCATAATAACTGATATCACATTTTAAAGGTTCTTTTTAAAATGTATAATTTCTCTGGTCATACACGATTATAAATTTCTCAGCATATCTATATAACAAAATCCGGGCTATTACTGAAATTTAATGTTTTCAAGGGACTTGCTCTTTTGCAGTAATTTTCTAATTTAACAATTGTATCATGTTTTTAAACTAAGATCTATTTAATGGTGTAGTTCTTTCTTTCATAACCCTTTTTATTAGTTACAATCATAATCATAATATTTTAATAAAAAATACTTTAACCCTTTTAAATTTGTGCTTCATCTACATTTGTCATCATAATAAAATATATGAAGTACAACAACACTAACGATGTATACGAATATTATTAAAAAAAGCTTACGAATACAGTTCATTAGATATCGGTTACAACGGAAGATAAAACAAAGGAATACACATGAGCTTGGCAAGTGCCCAAAAGTCTC